CGATGTAGTGCTCAACCCCTGATTTGTTTCAGGCCCTCGTGGAAAAGGACGTCGAACAGTTCGACCACAGCGCCGGCGCCATCAGAGGTCGAACGATCCGTGTCTGTAAGATAGTTGATGGCGACATGGAGATGCGCCCTGCCGACCCTTATGCCGAAAAGGTGAAAAGTGCCGTACACGTAGTCCGGAACGAAGGTACATCATATCCCAATCACTCACTGAGTCTGTTTATTAACTTGCTAGTGTTCACATTATCCTAAATGAATATTAATATCAGACTCCTTTTATGGATACATTTCATAAGGTATTGAATCCTTACCTCTTTGAATAACAGTTTATTTTCTTCACTTCTACACCGGTGTTTCAAGCAACATCATAAATCATTATCCTGATGATGATGCTGGTATGTGGAGTCAAAACCCGTCAGAAAAAACAAAGCACATTTCACGTCGTCGTTTTTACTTGTTGCCGTGAACCATGCATCAGCAAGCGAGGTGATGAAACAGTTTGTAATGCGTATATTTGTGAATTGTATCGAAATTTTTTTGTCTACGCAGGATTCCACTAGCTCGACTGAACAGTAGTTTTGCCAAGATGGCGTTTTTGTTAATCAATTTCACTGCTGCGTCATTCATTATTACTGTACAGTTCTGCTGTGCAGCAAATATAATTTTTAATATTGAAAAGCAGCGGTGGCTATCGCTACCCGTTTTTTGACGACTTAGAGTAGAATTTCTGTTCTGTTCATCGACGTTCTGTTTTTTTACCAAATTCTAAACTGCCACTTCTAAACTTCAAGTGCTTTCCGGGGGTCCCAGTCTATTATTTGACTATATATCAATAGCTAATAGCTTAAGCTCATACCAATTCTGTGCGATGGGTGACTGGAGACGTATACGGATTTCTGTGCCGTTTGTTTAGATACGATACAGATTTATGTCTTTCTATAGTATATATCCAATGGAATATTATGGGCAGTGTACGATATACATTTTATTGCCTGTCTCGTTCTGTAAACGATGGAATTATATTTTATCTCCTAGTCTGTACATGCATATACAGTACTGTGTTTAATATGCGATATTCCTTATATCATATAAATGTATCGTTGTATCTGTCTTAGGATTATATTTATTTGTCGTTTGTCGAAATTATAGATTGCACGTATAAATGTTTAAGCTTTACTATCTCTTTGTATTCATATGTGCGGTCTATGAAAAACGTTATGTTCTACCATATACTTATTGAAGATAACATAGGAGTTTTATGTCAAAGATGACATTTTGTTTTGGTATGTCACGTGGCCCGTATTTTCAACTCTGTAAACGAGCCGAGTTTAGTCAAAACCTCAGGTTCTCATATAATGTGACTGTGAGAAGGATCTAATGTATCATTTGTCCGTTCTGTTCATTCCAAAATGTTTATTAAATACGGATCGATTTCCTGAAGCATGGTTAAAAAACGAAACGGTTTGGTTTGCTAACCTTAATCAAGAAAACTCTCCCTTGATAAATTTTGAACCCAGAATTACAAACTCTTGCAAGGTGATATTTGTGTATATATTTGTAATATATGTCCAAGAGTACTTTTCATTATGTATTATGTAGTAGGTAATATTTTCTGAACATGGATCCCTAACAGGTACTGATGGGCAGCTCTGTGCAAACGCGTCACAGACGTACAATATAAATAATGCATAGCAGAACATGTGATCGAAATCCGGCTTCGGAGGAATTGGGAACTTCTTAACAAATGTCTAGTTATATGAATCACTGTAAATAATATATTATACGAACCATTCCAAAATCTCATATTAATCTCGTGGTAACGTCATAAAGAGGAATGGTAAACGGTAAATGGCGCAACTGTAATTGTGCTATTATGTTTATATCCAAATGTAGGGGAATCTGCCATTGATGTTAGCTTACTGAAGTCATATCCTAGAAACATAGAAGCACAAGTCATTGTTATACACTACGAAATCTGTTTTAAGGGTTGGGCGGCTAATGTTTGCGGTTTTTATATCTAAGTAAATTGTACGTTTGTTGCAGACAGAAGGATTTAGCTGTATTTATTTTTACATGCAAATTGCAGTTATACTTGCGCCTATTGCAGTTGGATCTTTGCCATGCCTTTTTCGGGATATTACAACGGAATCGTTATGGGTTTATACAGTCATTTGTATAACATTATTATTTGTGATTTTGGTACATCCCGTATGCAAATATGTGTAGTTCTTATGCCGCAATTTATAATTGAGAAACTCCTAACGCATATGAGGCTGAATTTAAGTCACATATGCAGTTATATATTATTTAGGTTGCTTATGGATATGAGGCATTTCTATAAATCTATATTTGCATATGTCAATTATCTTTATGAGGAAATTGATACGTAATGTATAATGTTGGTAAAATTGTATTATATAAATTAGATGTATATAATGCACTGTATATCTCTTCCTCAAAAAGTGGAAACATTCACGCGCCGTCATTCTAAATTAAATTCTTAGAACTGCGTAAGTGAAAGATTCTGTTTTTGAGATTGATTCGGTTTTCTGTTAACTAAGCAGGTGATTATAGCTTTTACCTCCTTTTTCTAATGGCCGGTTGCATGTAGCAAAGATTTGCACTTTAAATCATATATGGGAAAGACCGAACTCCGAGTTTAAACGAGTTTAAAAATGCTTTTTACATATGAATTTGTATTAAAAATGATCGAACTCGAGATGATAATTTTAGTTTTGTCGAAATTCTCAAAGCGAGCCGAATTTGCCATTCATCAAATGGGTACGTCGACGACGAACGGTGGCGTTGATGAGGCGGAGATGGACGACTTCATTGACGCGGCGAGCGCCGTGCACAAAGGCATCCAGGACATCCGCCACGCGCTGTTGATGAACCGTGACCCTGGAGACATCGACTCCGATGAGGAGTACGAATATGCGCCAAGCGAAAAAAGCAGTCACATCACTTCTGCTTCCGGTGGCGGTGGCGGCACCAGTTCAGAGAGGGCGGCGAAGGCTAGCGAAAACCAGCGCGCTCTGATGCGCCAGTTGCCGGAGGAGGACAAGCGCAAAATCCAGGAGCAAATAGACGTGTTCAAAGTGGTGCAACACAAGTT